TCGACCACGACTGCACGCGGGAGGCGAATAAGGGTCAATACCGGCCCCAGGGACGGGAAGGAGAAGATGATCGAGGACGTTCGGGACATAGCGGCGGATGGTCGCGCACGGGGCCTGCTCAGCGACGGTATATCTTAGCTTTGACATCCGTGTACTGTACCTTTTTAGCACAGGCTCACCCCAGCGTATACACGAAACTGACCGCCATCTGCGACCGAACACACCGACCGAAACCACCGTAGCGATCACCCGGCCTTCAAGCCTATCCATCAAACTCTGTTCCGTATCTCTGTCTATTTACCTTACTATCTACTATCTCGGCAGCCTCTGCGGCGCCTCGACGACTCGCGCACATCTATCTTCGCGTCGCCCAGCCCCACCGGCTTCGCACCTCATACAACAGGCTCACCCCAGCGTATACACGAACTGACCGCCATCTGCGACCGAACACACCGACCGAAACCACCGTAGCGATCACCCGGCCTTCAAGCCTATCCATCAAACTCTGTTCCGTATCTCTGTCTATTTACCTTACTATCTACTATCTCGGCAGCCTCTGCGGCGCCTCGACGACTCGCGCACATCTATCTTCGCGTCGCCCAGCCCCACCGGCTTCGCACCTCATACAGAAGTGCTTGAGCACGATCTAATTACCGAGTGCAGGAATGGAGAAATGACAGACAAACACGACAGCTACCCGGACGCTGGTCAGTATTTTCCTTTGTAGGTGACGACAATGGGGCGTACGTCTGAGCGTGAAGACACGCCTCGTCATGGCGGCGGAGGGCATCCACGGACTTCGAGGAGGTCGGGAGAGTCTCTTCGCCCGCTACAGAGAACCACGTCAGCATAATTATCCTCTCGGTGACGTATAGTGCATAGTAAGCTCACGGATTGCATCCACCGGAAATACCGATGGGTTCGCGTTTAGGTATCGCGCTTGCGGCCGCTAAGCTAGTTCTGGGAGATTCGTATGGGTTGTTTGTCAAACAAGTCGAAATAAGTATGGGACGTTTATATTCTGCACGTACTGAATGAGCGCGACAGCGAACACAGTCAGGAGGATAAATTTTACTCTGGGCATGTCGGGGGCGAGAGGTATGTTAGCTCGTGCGAGAACTCCCCGCTCATGTGTAAATACTTCCGTGGCGGGCACATCTGATGGGTGATGGTATATTCGTTGCGCTGTGTGCGTTTCCGGTCATTTACTTCTGACCAGGGAGCCTGAGGAGAGTACGCATGGGAACACAGATGGCGCGGGATATAGTGCCCCGAGTGATGGCACTAAATGCCGAGGCCGTTCAGGCGCGTTCAACGTTCAACGTTCGAATGGCTGTTGCATGGCCGTGCCAAACAGATCGGGTCGTGATGTTATGTTGAATGTTGCCAGTTTGAGCGGTTGCTCCCTCCTTGAAAGAAGGAATTAGAAGAGAGCAAGTACATGGTCTGGAAGGTCTGCGTCCCAGTCAAACATCGCTGCATACTTGTCTCGCTCGTCGCAGCGGGGATGTTGAGTTGAAGCTGAAGGGGCAGGTAAACAAGGCGCTCTCCCGCGATCGCACGCACCTATAGCCAGACCATGGGGAGCAACCACTATATACACATCACATACGTACAATTCCATTGATCTGCATGGCGTAGTGTACAAAGGGCATAGCGAGACGACGAGCGGTGGTTGCACAAGGGATTTCCTCTTCCTGCTAATTATACAGTCAAACCTTCCAGCGGAGCATACGGGCACAGACAACAGCAATAGTTACCGAAGTTCAAGGCAGTCGCAAGTCAGCTCCAGCTCAAGCGTCGAGGAGCTCCCGCGGCATGTCCGCGAACGCCGCCATGCCCACCCCAAGCAAGCCCAGTTGTACGACACACGCCCCCGCCTGGCGATACACCTGCTCCAGCGCCGGGATCGCCGGGCGCCCCTGCGATTCTGCACGTTCAACCCGCCATTAGCTCCAGCGCGATCGTCGTCACGAAGTAAGTAACGCACCAAGGACCGCCTTGTTCACCTCCGCCGCCAACGCCGCACGGCCCTCCGGCCCGGCGGTCTCCGCCACCGCCCGGTCCACACCACTCGCGAGCGGATCCTCGTACGCAACGACACCAAACGTGCGCTTCAGCAGCGCCTGCACCTCCTCCCGCGCGTCGTCCCTATGGTCCATGCGCAGCGTGCGCCCATAAGCGAGCGCGTCGCCAAGCGCAGCCGCATACGCGCGCTTCGCCTCCTCCAGCCCGCCCCTAGCGCCGTCCACACCGGCGACGGCGGAGGGCGTGGCCGACCCATGAGCGCTGTTCCCGCGTCCGTCGATGCGCACCGTGGATGAAAGCAGCGGCGCCGGCGATGGCTCATCCACCTCCATCGCGCCGAATCCATCCATCTTTCCCCCCGCGGGCCCCGCTCCGTCCGCCTCCGCCGGCCCCACATCCGCCTCCGCCTGCGCGCGCTTCACCGCCCGGAGCCGCTCCGCGACGGCGAGCATGAGCTCCACGAACCGGCGGCAACGCAATTTGAGCCGTACGAGCCCGCGCTGCTTCTCGAGCGCGCCAGGGCAGCGCGCCTCCAGCAGCCCCAGCGCCGTGTCGATCTCGCCGCGCGACACGGCCGACACGATCTGCGTCCGGAGCGCGATCTCCGGGTCGTCCGGCGGGGCCGAGGGCCCGTCCGCGTCGGCGTCGGACATCACGGCATCCGCGTCCTCCTGCTTGATCTCCAGCGCGCCCGCGCTGTCCCGCGAGCTGGAGAGCTGCGCCCTGAACGCGCGGGCAGCACCCACGAAGCCGTGATGTTCCAGATAGCCAAGGACGAGCGCATCCATCGGCGCCTTCAACGCCTCCTTCTCCGCCGCACGCTCCTCCGCGCTCGCGCCCAAACCGGGATTCGCCAAGTTGACCACGCTCTCCGGCCGGCCCGCAGCGCGCACGACCCACCGCCTCCTCGACGCCGCCCCTCGGTCCTCGCTCGCCCACACCTTCGTCTCGAGACCCTCCTCCTTCACGCTCTCCCCCTCCCCCGCCTCGATTTGCGGCACTACCAACGTCCGCCCGATCGTCGACCACGCCGCCTCCCGCGCCTGAGCCACGTGATCATCCACGTCGAACCGGAACGGCGCATGCCCGAAATTGGCGCGAACCGCCTCGCCCGCGTGGCGCAGGCCGACGGACGGGTAGAGCTCGACGGTGGGGTCGCGTCCGACGCCGTCGAACACCGCGCCGAGGAACGCGCCGTTCTTGGTGTAGAACGCGCGCTGGGTCGAAAAATCGATGCCGCAGCCGATGACGTCGCCCGCTGCAGGAAGAAGAAAGGGTGGAAATGTGAGAAAGTGCTAAGAAGGGCCCGTAAGGCGCGGGGGTAGATGCGTACTGCCGAATGTAGGCCCGTACTTCGTGCCACTCTTCTCGGCCGCGAAGGAATAGCCGTCATCGCCGTGGTAGCCCCACGACCGCTGTTCCCAGCCGGGCAAGCGCGACAGCCTAACTTCCGCCGCCGAAAAACCGATGGAAATATGTCTACAAACGAGGGCAGGCAGTCAGCGTTCTACGTCATCACACACGGAGTGCAGCACATGTAGTTTCCTGACCCTTTAGCGCCCTTAGATACGATCTCGACCTCAAAGTAATACACCCCGCACGCGGCAGGGATCGGATGATTCGTCCTCGCCGCCGCGGCGTCGCGCTCGCCGCTGCTCGAGGGGCCGTGGAAGCCGAGCTCGCGCCCGTCCGCGCTGATACTCAAGCTCGCGTGTCGATCCGTGTCCGACCATCTTGTGGGGAGGCGCAGCACGGGGGCGACCGCCTTCTCGACGACCTCGCCGCCTTCGACCCCGGCGGCGCGCGGGGCAATATAAACAGAATCGTCGTCCGAATCGGTGCTCGGCGTCGCCGTGCGGCGGGCGAAACGCGCGAAGGGCTGCTGATGCACGCGGCGCAAGCGGCTGCTGGGAGGCTGTGGGCTGGGGCTCAGGCTAAGTCGGGCGGAGGAGACGGCGGAGGCGGTGGGCCCCGACGAGGCGGATAGCGTGCCGTAGCGGCCGGCAGGGAGCGCGGGCGTGAGCTCCGTCTGAAGCAGGTGCCGCAGCGCGGAGTGCGACAGGTACGCGGGCGGGGGAAAAACGGAGGGCGTGGAGGCCGCACCGGAGGAGGCGGGGACGAGGGAGTACGGGCTCGTCGTCGTGCCTGAGCTGGTGTGCGCAAGAGAGGCAGAGGACGTGCGGCGCGGTGCCGTGCGCGGTGGGTTGACGCTGGCGCCAGAGGCACGGCGGATGCGGGACATTGCGTCAGAGGCCGCGTGCGAGCTAGACGTGAGGTTGGAGCCGCGGACGATGCGAGGCTGAAAAGATGACATGGGTTGCGCATAACCGTAGGAGGTGCGGGCGCTTGGGAGGTGCAGGCCGGCGGAGAAGAAGTCGGGCGCGAGTTCGACGGAGCCGCTTGTGCCGCTTGGACGACTCATATTGGGCTATCCAACAGTAGGGAAAGCAGTTGTGTAGATTGATTACGATCGCGGGGCAAGTCGTCAGGTCGTACGAGATGGAAGTGCGGGGTAAGGGTGAATGGTACGAGAACTGCTCAGGGTCGTGGTCACAGTGACGATGTTCAAACGTTCACACCACGAGTGCCCTTAAACCTTGTGAAATCCGGTCAGATGCTAGACCCTGCATGTGATCCAAGGACACTGCACTCACTATAGCCTGTAAACAGTGGATGTACGTGTGCGCAAGGGGCCGGTGGTGATGGTCCTGGTGCAACCCGCAGAATGACGGGTTGGAGGCTGATAAAGGGCCGATGGGCGGGATCTCGGACGACCCCAGGCTTTGTCTGTGCTGGAGTCTGGGGTCGAAGCAAACGGTCAAGGTTCAAGGAAACCCGAGAACGAGTTCGATTAGAGTAACGGCGCCCACTCACCGAGCAGCGCCGTCACGACCGGCATAGTGACCTACGGTGACGTCACGAAGGTAACGTGACATTCGTCACCGCCGTTGGGCTCTGACACAGCGGGAAATCTGGGGAAAACATATAACAAAGCTATTGTATAATAACTATGGTTGTTACTGACATATTTGCAGCTAAGCTGGTTTGAAGTTATGACAGATGTACCTTAGGGATGCAGATATATGTCAAAAATATGACTTCTTTCTCGGTCTCTTTGCTGTAAGTTTGACATCAGTTGGGTCAACTTAGCTCATAGCTTTTCTGAATCATTTCGTCAAGTATTTCTGATATACATACTTTGCCCAGATTCAGCCTGTTTCCCGCACTGTGAGATGGTAGCACGGTCTATGCCGTCTTGTTGTTGCGTGTTTCCCAGGGTCAGAGAACAGAGAACTTAAATTGACATATACAATTAAGCTAGAGCCGCGTGGTACTAGACTGATTAGATTGTTTGTAAGTTGGTGAGAAACGGGCGAATGCCCCCGAAGGGGGCGTTCCGGTCCGGGAATCTGTGCGGGGTGTGTGAGCCGCGATGGGCGGGCAGGGTTAAAACATGAGGAGTGGAGGGTGGGATGCAACCCTGAAAGTGAACCTCGCTTAGTTCCCGGACCCCAGAAATGAGGGGACTACAAATGGACGGCAGTCTGTCAGGTTCTAGCACCTTTACATACATGCTCCTCCGGCGCTATCCTCTTTTCGCTTGAGAGCGCTCTTTCTCCCCAATGTGACGCTGGAGCTCTGGTCCGCGGCGGTGTCTTCGCCGCGGCTCACAATTCTATAAGTGTCTCGAGGGTGACGTCCCCGCTCCTTCTCCTTCGCTCTTTTTTCTATGTCCTCCCACTCCC